AGCCAAGGAGGCAAATTGTAAATGACCAACAAAACTGGCCATGAACTGTGTTTACTACTTAAGTTCCCATAAGGATTCATGCCATCTGTAGCTAGACCAATTCTCAAGTTTCTTGACTCTGCACCAAATTCTGGAAATGTTTCATCAATCCTCTTCCATTGCGGAGAATCAGCTGGATGTCGAAGAAAATTGTCACATTTTCTACCATTTTCATGCCATGTGAGGTTTTTTGCATCCTCTTTAATGGCAAACAATCTTTTAAACCTAGGTATTATTGGCAAATACCATAAGACCTTAGCAGGGGGACCCTCTATTTCTTCCTCACCACTACTTCCATCAGTTTTCTTTTTGAACCGCGACAATCCACATGTCGGACACACTTTCAATGTAGCAAAATCATTTGTATACAATACGCAATCATTAGGGCATGCGTGTATCTTCTTATACTCCAAACCCATTGGATATAGTATCTTTTTTGCCTCATAGTTGCGGTTAGGTAACATGTTATCTTCTGGAAGCATCTCCTTCAACAATTCCAATAATTTTGTGAAACTTTTATCAGTCCAGCTATTTCTTGCTTTTAAACTAAACAATCTTAAATTTGCTGATAATCTTGTAAACATATTGCATCCTGGGTACAATGGTTACTCAAAATTAGGGGTGGGCAAAAAAAACTAAACTGAGCTGAACTGAACTAAACTGGTGGTGAACTGTACTATAAAAAACTGAACTGTTTGTAAAAAAAACTGAACTGAACTGTTTAAAAAAAACTGAACTGAACTGAACTGTTGTAAAGTTGAACTGTACTGAACTATAAAAACTGAACTGAATTATAAAAATTGAACTATTTTTATAAAAGAATAAAAATTAAATGTGTTTAACATGTTATGTCTTAATAGATTAGCTCGATAGTCTAATAACCAAAATTTTAGAAAAAAAGTGATTTGAAAAAAAATTATATCAATTTTGTTGAACTTAACGGATCAATTGAGCTATGTTGAACTACTTATTTTTAGGCTTAAAATTCACTGAGTTTGTTTGACTTAATTTTATATTTTTTTCCTTTGAAAAATTTAAATAAAATGGAAAATAAAGTAAAGTTGACAAATGTGTCCTATTTTGATAGATCAATGAGTCAAAATTGTTCAATTCAAAATATCATAACAGTTTAGTGCAGTTTAAATTGCAGTTCAGTTCAAGTTTTTATAGTATAGTTCAGTTCAGTTCAATGACACAAAAGAATAGTTCAGTTCAGTTCGTCTGAACTAATATTTAGTTTAGTTCAGTTCATATGAACTACTTTTAAGTTCAGTATAGTTTTTATAAGTTCAGTTCAGTTCAGTTCGTTTTGCCCACCCCTACTCAAAATCAGACTTTAAGATATCATACACATGTGCTCTTTCAAAATTTTCTTCACCAACATCATGTATCATCTCTTCTAAATTATTGTCCATCCCTTTAAAATTTTCAGTTGTTGACACCGTTGGAATGTCTAATATTTCTCCATGTCATGTTCATATTGTATAACTCTTCACAATACCAAATATAAATAGGTGATCATGTATTTCTCCAACTTCCTGACGTATCTGATTCAAACAACGAACACATTGACAATAATATGCCCCTTTGATGGGTTTTCCATTTTCTCTTGCAAATTGCAAGAACTCTTCAACTCCATTTCTGTACTCTTGACTAATGCGACGTGCATTCATCCAACTTCGATTCATTATCTATATATTAACACAAATTAACTATTGACTCAGTTATTCATAATTATTCTAACCTAAACTACAACCTTAAAAAATCGATAGTAATTTCGGATAAAATCGATAAATACTTCTACTAATACGATGCTAAACTAAAGGTTAATGCCAAATTTGGTCCCTCTTAATAATTAAATTATCCTTCTTTAATGCATCTGGAACGGCCCGTTCTGAAACCAGAACGGGCCATTCTAGATGGAAAAATAACACAAACTTAATGCGTCTGGAACGGGCCGTTCTTAAACTAGAACGGTTCGTTCCAGATGCATTATTTTTGTGTTAATGGCTCATCTGGAATGGTCCATTCTGGTTTCAAAATGGCCTGTTCCAGATGAACAATTAACAAATAATAACTTCAAGTAGAACGGCCCGTTCTGGTTGCAGAATGGGCCGTTCCAAATGAACAATTAACACAAAAGCTAATGCAGAGAAGAGAACTAAGTTGAAACTAACCTCAAACGTGCAGGTCCAATGCAAAACAGCTTAGAAAGGTGCAAGAGAACTAAGGTGTGCAGAGAAGAGAACTAAGTTGTTGATGACATGTAAACTAAGGCGCGTGCGGGAAGAGAACGAAAAGGTTGCTAATATAAATAATATTTTACGTCGGATTAGGTATGGTCCGACATAAAATATATAATCTATGTCGACCTTGTATTATGTCCGACGTAGATTATATAATTTACGTCGGACCATACCTAGTCCGACGTAAAAGAGTCCACTGTTATTTACAAAAATGTCACCGCATTTTTTTTACGTCGTATTTTGGTATGTCTGACATAAAAGAGATAACGTAGTAACCTTATTTTTCACTAGTGTCATCAATTTTACTTTTTATGTGTTGTTGATTTTGTGTTTAGGATTATGGTTCATTGGGTTGTTGATTTTTTTTAGAGTTGTTGACTTTACAAATTGCATCACCTTCTTTCTCTCTTTATTTTTCTATCAAATTTTCAAACTCATTTTCTAACTATGGTTATTACAACAATGAGACTTGATAGAGGGACTAAAAATAATAGTAAATAATAATTGAGAAACCAAGACCATAAAAAATTACTATTGAAAAGCTAAAAAATAATTTCATAAAAAAATGAAAAGCTAAAATTGAAAAAAAAAAATATTAAGAGACTAAAAGTGAATTCTATGAAAAGACAACTCGCTATTATCATAATTTTCCAAGAAAAAATATATATAAGTATACTTTATTACCTCATCATACTAATTAAAGATGTAGTAGATATTACCATGTCATCACTTAATAAAAATACTTACAGTAGAAAAAAGAATGTTTATAGAGAAAAAGTTTAAAGAATTAAAATTTTCTTTAAAGACTTAAAAGTAAAATATATAAAATTTTATAGACTAAAAAATATATTCAATCCATCGGTTAAAACTATCATGTTAGATTGGGAAGGTTTAATAATTTTAAAAATGAATGCACTCAAAACAATCACAGAGGTATTAGATTAAGAAAATTTCCAAACTCAACCCGACATTATTTAGATATAAAATAAAATAATTAATATTTAGTTTTTTTATTTTATTTATTAAAATTTTATATCTAACTTTTGAGACAACATATTTATTTTCTATTAATTTTTTCTCTCCTTCTTAATGTTTGTTAAATAAATCTAACCCAATTCAACTTTTTTCAACTTTAATCCATTTGATTCAAACAAAAAAAAAAAAAATCACCTTCACAATAATCCATGTTCACACATTGAAAGGATCTCGTAGTCCATAGAGACAAAGAAGAACACAGTTCAAATTCTTACCATCTGAATCCCAGAATCAACGGGTACAGCTTTAAAATTGCAACTCAAAACAAAACCTGACATAAAGTAAATTGAATTTTGGCATTTTATGAATCAACCTGAGCCTGAATATATCACATTTTTTTTCTTCAATTTCGGACCAATCATACTCCTACTAGTGTGCTGGGAGCCAACGAAGTACGATTAGTGTAAGTGGAGTGCTCCTTGTAACACATTATTAGTTAAGATTAATTCAAAGTTATGAATTATAAGTGAAATTTATTAAATATGAAGTAAAATTCACATAGTTATTTAATTTCTAACAAATTTTAATGAATAATAGAAGATGTGGTCAAAAGTGTACACTAAAAAGTGTGTTTTTAGTTTAATTAGCTAGCTACAACGTAAAATCTTTGTTGGCATGACCTTTCTTAATCTGTTGGGCATCGATATATTTAATGTCATGTATAGTAGAATAAAAAAAATTGCAATCATTCACCCTGTTACGAGGTGATTTAAGGTGATGACATAAAGAAATAGAAATAAAAAGTTAAAGAAAGAGAATGATACAGTAGGAAAAATAGAAAGAGATGGAAAATAAATAAATAAAGCAAAATTGTGATAACAAAAAGCTAGTGAGTAGAGGTAAGTGAGAAGAAATATATTGGACCAGATTTATCTCAGTCTTTATCTGACTCGAAATTTTGAACTTTGAATCTATATTTGATCCAATCAAAATTCAAAATTATGGAATAAGATTGTGTGAATATGATATTTAACATAATATATTAATATTATTATAATGTATATTGTAGAATAACTAATATTATTATAAATATAATACCATATTATACTAAATATTATCTATTATTTATTACATTTAAATCGGATTAAGATAACTTTAAAATATAATCTAAATCCGTCATAAAAATTCAAATCTAGTTTTAGAATCTAAATCCCTCGTATTCTCTTTGAATGTAGGACGGTCCAGGATATGTGTATAATTATTTGTATAATTATTAATTACTCATATCATCGTATAACGAAAGTATATGTTTATTTATCAGTGGGACTAACAAATACTTATATATATATATATATAGAGAGAGCATATCAAGTGAGAGAGAATTTATTATGAGAGATGAAAGGATTAAAATATAACTCTTAGATTAATT